AAAAAAAAGTAATTTTCTGTTTTGTTTTATTCTTGGATCGGGCTTTAAAGGGTTAATGAAGACCACCCATCATAATCAGACTGACTGAAAAAGACTTTTTTTAAGAAGGTTGATTCTTATAAATGCTTCAGTATTAACCTGAGACTTCAGCTGATCTTTCTATGAACAGAGGAGCGTATAATGATGTGTGAAGCTGCTGCTGCTGCATGAAAACCAACCGTCTCCTCCGTCTCCTTTCAGGGCAAAACGGAAGAGATACTTTGAGTATCCCCTTCTGGAGAGATACATGCGCTGCAAACAAAGCTCTTACTTCCTGGTCAGCATGCTGTTTCTGCGAGGTTTCCTCCTCCTGACCTTCATGACGGCTGCCTGCCTCTATCTCGCCTACTTCCACCTTTCGGCCTTACTGCAGGACGAGTTCAGCTGCTTCGTTCGGACGGGCATGCTGCGGGATCAGAGCTGGATTCCAGAACTCGTTCAGTGCAAGATAATCGGCCAGCTGGTCTTTCAGGTGATCAGTGTGGTCAACGGCGCCATCTACATCCTGCTGGGACCCATCGTCCTTTTCAGCATCATTCGGCTCTTCGTTTGGGACACCAGCTTCATCTCCGTGTACGATGTCCTCCCAGCCCTGGATATCATCAACAGCAGACGATTAGGCTGCCCGCTCAATGACCTCAATGTTCTCCTGCTGTTTCTGCGCGCTAATGTAGCCCACCTGAAATCCTACGGGCAGGTCAGAGCTCTGTGCTCCCTGGCGCCGCCACAAGTGGGCGATGCTACGGCGGGGCAGGGCTTAAACGCAATGCTGACGCAAGAAGAACTGGAGGAACGTGAGGAGGCAGCGATGGAGCTGGCGGAGGAGGTGGGGGAGGCCAAGGAGGAAGGGAAGCTCAACCTGGTGGACATCATGACTATTCTGGGAGCGGCTCAGGGAAGAGTGGTGAACTGCAGTGAGAAGAAGCCTCTAATGGAAGAAAATATGAGCCTGGGTACCACAACACTTATCTATACACTCAAACGCATTCTTTTAGCGGCTATTTTCACCTTCATCATCTGGGATGCACAGAAAATAATTCAGTAGCATCCAAAGATCTGCTGCTGCCAATCATAACATCATGTCAGGAGGTATAACCTACAGTAGAAGCCATTCAAAATGTCCCCACTTCCCTTGATGGGCCCTCTGCTGGTCCTCGGCCGGTCCCCTAAGATTCCCCTTTAAAACATTGAAAATATTCTTTCTGTCATGATTTGTAGACAGCTGTAATTCAGTAAAAGGGTGGTAAAATAATATGCACGCCCAGGAGAAGGGGGTCCCTCCAGTGGCTGGAAGTTGGAGGGGATTCTGCTGAGAATTGCAGGGGCTGCCGATCGGCTGGCGTTTGACTGGGAGGGGTCATTTTGAACGGCTGCTGCTGTAGATTAATCCAGTTTGAAGAAGGAATGTGTTATTTTTTTCCAGTATTTAAAGCAACAGGTGTGTCGTTTTTCTAAAGGAGTCTTTTAAATGTCTGGCAGATGCAGAAGAGATGGATTTGTGGTACTTGTCTGCCCTAACTGACCTCTCTGTTTCTTTACAGAGCCAAACCACCAGGGGTACCATGAGTTGAAGGAGACTGCACCATTTAGTCATTACTAGGCCTTCAATGGACTCAATCAATGTGGTAGCAGTGTGGGGGTGGAGGAGGTGGGGGGTTAAGAGGTTTGGGAGAGGAGGAGGTTGGACGGTTGGTGCTCAGCGGTCTGCAGAAAAAAGCCGAATGGTTCTGAGTGGAAATGTCAATGGAGATGGATTTGTCAGGTTTCAGCTGCTGGGCAGGAGAAGCTTCTTCTGTCTTTCAGCTTGGATGTATGTTTAAAAAGAAAAGTATCAAAAGAATTTTTGGAAAAAATAAGGTTACTTATGATTATGTTGCCAGAACAACAGCAGTCAGCATTTTTTTTTAAATGAAAAAACTGTGAGAAGCAGAAAGTTTAAGCCAGTATTTAATATTAGTGTTGGACAAACAGCTTGTTGAATGGCATCTGCTTTTTTTATTCATTTACTATGATGTCAGCTGTAACATTAATGTTACCGTCCTCCTGCTTTTCTATTATATGTCTGTGATTTTTCTGTTTACTCATTTAAAAGCAAATAAATTTACTGGAATCAGTTTTTATTAAAGAAATGTCTGTTATTTTCTCATTTAACAAACTAGTTTGTTAACTAACATATTTCAAAATAACCGTTGTAATCTAGTGTATCTAAACCCCTTTAAATCAACCATAACCTAATTAATAAACTGCCTGAGTAGAACCAGGAGATACCAGTAGATAAAAAAGCTCCTGCTTTCAGCAGATGTGGCTCATCTCCTTCTTAAACTAAAGCATTTTTATAAGATATTGTAGATGCTAAATTTCTTGATAAAAATGATCTTCGCCAATCTTGCAGGGCGTGAAGTTTCTGACTCATTAACCTTTTTTAAGCTTTAGCTGAGCCACCTCTATAGTTCTGCTGCTATAGGCTTAGACTGCTGGAGGACATAGGGACCCCTTTTTCATCATTCTGCTTCATTCTATCTCTATTCTCCCACTCTGCAGAATCTGTTAGTTCAATCTCTAACGTTCTGCTCTCTCTGCTTTTTCTCATAGTAGCTTCATCTGGTCTGTTCCTGTTTGGCTGTGACTCCATCCTGGAGAGAAATATCAGCTGTGCTGCTTCCATCAACACCTTTGTTTCTAGATGTTGGAGCTTGGCCTGTTTTCCAGTGTAGTCCTGTTTCTCTGACTGTGACTAACTGGATGTGCTCTCTTCATCCTCTGACATGGGAGCTGGCTCGGAGCTCGTCTGCCTGGCTGTGTGTTTCCTGGACGGGGCCGCCTGTGGAGCTGGTTGACAGTTGCCTTTTGTATCTATGCTTCTTTTTCTATGTCTGCTTCTGTCTCCTTGAACCCCAGTGGGCCTCAGCAGATGGCCGCTCACACTGAGCCTGGTTCTGCTGGAGGTTTCTTCCTGTTCAAAGGGAGTTTTTCCTCTCCACTGTCGCTACAAGCATGCTTAGTGTGAGGGATTGCTGAAGAGTCAATGAGTCGATGCAATCAGCTGGTTTTCCTTAGATAGAAAACTTTGAATCAATCTGACTGGATGATCTGGTGAACTGGAAAGTGCCTTGAGATGACATGATGTGAATTGGAGCTATAGAAATAAACTGAATAGAACTGAATAGAACTACCAGCCTCCAACTGAAGACCTGAGGCTTCAAATGAGGCTTTCCAGGAAACCGTAAGGCAAAGACCAACATGTTTTTATTCAGCAAGTCAATGACGTTAACACACAGACAGAGGAGGAATAATTACAGAAGCAAAGGGCCGTGAGTACGGGGGCCATTTCTATAGCACCACAAAGGAGGACATTGTGCTGCATATCAATAAATTACTAAGGTGTACATAAGAATCGGGTAAAGTCACATTTACAGTACAATGCTTAGTAGTTTAAAGAGGATGCTTGCGTAGCTGAATAGAACAAAATATTAAAGAAACGTAAAAAAGAATCGGTTCCCAGAATTTGTATTTATTTAATACATGGTGGTGTTTAAAAAGTGACACCGAGATGAATCTTTAAAGTGCAGAATACCACAAAGCATACGATGTGTGGACTTAAATGTTTAAAAAATATTTTTAACAAGAAACATTCAGAAGAAAATGGCCGAATATTTTTTTAAACAAAAGAGATTGTAGAAAACACATTCAGCTGCTCTAAAAGTTTAGCTTTATTTTTAAGAGCCTCAGTCTTTGGGAACTTCTCCTAAGAGTCTGTGTGCAGCAGACGTGTCTTTATGGTCGTCCCTTTAGCTATGGGCCAATCACTGAAATCCACTTTCAGTCACAGTCTACACTTCCGTAGGACTAGTGATGTTTTATAGTATAGTCCACCTTGCAGCTCTGCACAACTTATTTTAGCATCTAGAGGCGACAAAACTTAATGTAAAAGCCATTATTGAAGAGTTTGCTGCTGCACGTTTATTACTTTATGTTAATCCGTACTCGCACGCCGTTCAGTTGAAGCTTTTCCTCGACTGCTTACGCCCACATCGCATCGACAAAGCGGCAGAAACCATGGAATGAATCTCCACTACCTTTGGTCATAAATCCACGCTCTTTTGTCCATTCTGGCTTAAACGACGTCCAGGACGCTAACTTTAATACTTAGCATCAGTAATTCTGATCCTTGTTTACTTTTGTAACCAATGACAAGCAGATCTTTATCTGACACGCCGCCAGTCTTAGCCAATCATCTGTTAGATCAGATAGTGATGCATTTTTGATGATTGGATAAAAAAAATAAATAAATAAAAATCTGCTCTACAGGCCTAGTGCCTCATAAAGGAGGACAAATACACGTCCGGCTGGATGCGGCGCCGGGCGTCGGACAGTGCAATGACAATCTGGACTGTCCGCCCTAAAGCCGGACATCTGGCCACCCTAGCTCTGAGTCAAGATGCCTTTTCCAGTTCAGTGAGTCAATCAAGGACATAATGGAGATGGTGAAACCTGAAAGATGTTTCTATCATTTATGTATCTGGCTGTGTGTGAATATATTTGCAGTACGTTGCTCTGGATGCAGTTTCTCACCATGTGTTCATCACTGATTAATTAAAGGATGTGTTTTCCAAGCTAAAGAAAAGCAACTATGACAAAGAGCATTGCCTTTTACCTTTATACCCATGAGCAACCGCTATCTCCAGCTGATCATTGCTGTGTTCAGCTGCTCATTGAAACAGTTTCAGCCTCTAGATCAGGGCTCTCAGACTGAAACAACCTGCATTAGACGTGTCGTCATACAAACCTGGATGAAGCGGCTCACTTTCCTCACCAGCAGCATTCCAGCTCTGCTAGTGAGCTCATAGTGGAGTCAGGAAGGTTGAAGCAGAGATGCACTATAGGTTGCAGGACCCTGAGAGGAGATTGAGACCCCTGCTCTAAGAAGGCTACTTTGACTTGTCTGAACTGCATTTTCTCCACTGACACAATTCAGACACTCTTTCCTGTCTTGTCAATCAGCTCTTTATGTCCTCTGCATGTTGTAAGGAAGGTTCTTGACTTCAGAAGGCCCTTACTCCCAGTTCTGTTACCTGGAGCGACCATCTTTAAATAACTAACTAAAGAAGGAAATAAAGAGTCTGCTGCTCCTGCAGATTCAACCCTACGACAAATCGTGATTGCTGATTGGTCAGTTCAGATATTAGGGTTATAAAATATACTTATTACCTTTTAGGGACTCGGTTGATGGTTGTGAAAGCATGTTTTTCTTTGGGGAGAAAGGAAAGCTAGGAGTGATAAAAGATAAGTGTTTAAAGTTTCCTCATCCTCCTTTGTGCCGTGAACAGAAGGCAGCTGTTCTGGTGAGAAAGTTCTTTTTGCAGGGGTGGGTTGGTTTCCCCTTGAAGTGTGTTGGTTTGTATAAATGTGTGTGCTTGGCTTGTCCTAGTCAGAGTTTTTTCCTCTCCATCTGCAGACGTAAAATAAATCTGTGTTTTAAATGCAAGAAGTGCCTCAGCCTCCAAACTCCACGTTTTTCTCTCATACGTTTCTACACTGTAAAATCCAATCAGTTAAAAAGCCTGCAAACCGCTTGCATTTACAAAAAAAATGTAAAGTGCACTAGGTTAAAGAACAAAGGTTTAATGTCTCAAATATCCATACCCACATATTATTTCTTCTTTTATTTTTTAGCTACCCTTTCAGGCAAAGTGATCTCTACAGTGTGCAGCTGTTTAAAAGTGTTTTATTTTTTATTTGTTTTATATATAAATGCCTTCAGATGTTGTTTCCTCCCTTAAGTAGAAATGTTGGCTGTCTATACTTTACTGGAGAAGTTATTTTTAGACACATTTTTACTTCGACTCTTTACATTTTTTGCAGTATCTCTACTTTCTACTCCTTACATTTAAAGAAATTTACTCATTATTTTTGTTTTATTTAAACTCATTTTTGCTGCATAAACATTAATACTTTGGACACCTAATTAAAGTGATACTCAGCTGTTAAGTGAAAATAATTTAACTGTAGTAGTTTTCCCCCTTTTATTCACTATAATCTCTCTCTTCTCTATAAAACGTTCAGCCTGCAAGCATTTTATTCACAAAGCATTTGTAAAGAAGTCCAGTCTAGTTTTTATAGGTGCTTAGTGCATCAAACTGTTGATGGGTGAGTGACTCAGACTCTGCTTCAGCTGGTCCAAGCGTTTACCGATTGTGTGGAAGATGGATAAAGTGCTGTCAGAATGTGTGAATGTGGCTCACTCTCTCAAACACTTGGAGTGGGCAGTGAAAGAAATGCAGTCAGGCTTCCATTAGGCTAATAGATGTTCCACGTCCAGCGTTAACAGCAATCAGAAGCCATTTGTGATGAATGGGATCCGCTGCAGTCCGTCTCTCCATGAGGTTCTGTTTGCATCCCCAAAGCAACGTGCTGCACACTGACCGGCGCGCCACTGGGAACCGGCTTAAACTCACCTCAGAGTCTGTCACATGGATCAACTGGTGTCAGAAATGTTCCCCTCAGACTCTGCTTCATGTTGTCAAAGCAGCAACAC